GACAGCAAAAGTGAGAAAAATATCACGACAAGGCCCAGACCAATGTAGGCTAGCACTGAAATTGAACTTTCCTTCACAGATCACTCAAGATTTCAAGTTTTCACTCACTGTTGTTATTGATTCCGAAAAATGGTTTCGAGCTGGACGATTTCTTCTTTTCGGTGACTTCTACAGTAGGACTTGCAGCTTCGTTCAACAAAATAAACCCGAATGTGATAGCGGCGTACAGGGCACCGACGATATAAGTCTCAGCAACAAGCTGAAAACATTTTATCGTAGCAAAGAAAGAAGGACCAAACATAATTAAACCAGGAAGGTGCAGAATTCACCTGATATTGTGTAGAACCATGAATGAAGCTGGCTTCTCGGGTTTGTGGGTTGTTCATAATGAAGGGCGGACCACGAATGTGGTTCCACATTTGGCCAGAGAGGAAAACAAATGTGATACACTGTAAAAACTTTGTTAGTTATAGGAAACCTAGGGCAGGTTGTGAGTACCAGCTTTAGCGAAGAAAACACAACTTGCAAGCCGTAAAGAGTACAGAAGATGTATTACTTGTTGAGAAAGGAAAAAATATCGCATTGAACCAAAGTGTAGCTTACCAAACAAACAAGACCCCAACTAGTACGGTTGTAAAGGAACTCCAAGTTGTTCCGCTTCATGTAGAGTAAGCCAAGTACAAGAGCCAAAAGCAGCACGATAACTACCGGAGCAGCGTAGTTTGGAGGGCGAAGAATGCGAATCTTCAAAATCGTAAAGTCTTTAAAATTAATCAGCGGAAGGGAAATCCAATATGACGCATAAAAATTCGATGTGACGCACGTTGATATCGAGAGCAAGATTAGAACCCTTAAATTTATGTCACAGCGATAAAAAGGAATTACTTCGCCTCTACCTGAACATCGGTTTGATCCGCTACAAAGCGTGCCATTGCATCAGCATCGAATCCGTGGCGCTGGAAGTCCATCTGATCAGGCTTCTTCTTTCCTTGAAGCTTTGGCCCAAAGTGGTACAAAATAGGAGCCGTATTCAGATTCATCTGAAAAGAATTATTTTGGATGTTGAACGAAGGAGTACTGGATATAACAACTTTTCTCTCGTACCGCTTGGAAAATCTGGGGAGCCTCCTCGTAATCAACAATTCCAAAGTACACCTGCTTGAGTTCAGCGTGCGCATAACGATAAGAGTTTGCCATGATCATGAACTCGTCATAGGCAGGTCTTCAATAAGTATATACAGAGAACTTTCGTTGCAGTAAATGTGAAAATTCATGCTGACAGTTTACTAAAATTTTCGCAAATTTTAAAACCCAAAACTCGTAACGCTTACTTGCAAATAGGGCAGTTCACTCCTGGCGACAAAGCAGTAAACATTACAAACATGCTGTAGTTTCGAGGTTGTTGTCTTACGAAGGTTTTCCAGCGATCCATGTTAAGTCTGACCACAGGTTGCCGGTACAGCAGGTCTTGCAATGCTTTCACCTAGAGAAAAAATGAAATGTATTTGGTTAAATGAAGAGAAACATGGGTTACAAACTTTTTCATCGAGCGATGTTGGTTGCGCTGCATATGTAACGTATGCGTAGGCTAGGATGAACGCCAGCATGGCCATCCGGCTCACAACCATTATGGAATCCCCTGCTAGAAGATGTTCAAGGAAGCTTCGTACAAAGTAAACGATTTTGGAATTACCATTAAAAAGTAAAGGTATTCTTGGCTACGCACCAAACAAACTTCTGTACAAAACAAAAATCGAATCAAATGTTTAACTTCATGCAAGAAAACAAGGGTTGAGATCTTGAAAAAAAGTAAAAAAAAAAAACACAAGATAACAATTGAGAAAAAATCTTTTAATCAAAACCTACTCTCATATAGCTCCTTACAATCAATATGAAAATGAGGCAATGCTGAGCAACAAATGGCTAACACTGAAACATTGCTGATGGTAGCACATGAACTAAATTTGAGAGAAAATGAGCTGCTAAAGTACTAAAGGTCCAATAAAACAGACTGGGTTCCCACTGATGAAGAGAAATTCAGATGCCTCGGATTGCATCTGCCAAATGGAAAACTGACGATCAATGTATTTATACCCTCATAATAGCTTACGCCGCAGAGCAAACCACTCCAATCAACCACGACATACTCCTCTTACAATTACTACTAGCATTGTTTTACAGGTAACAGAAATGTCACCAAAAAATAAGTCACTTGAGACTACTTCTTTTTCGAAGTCCCAAAACCACCAAAACCCATCATGGCTTTAAGCTCAGGATCCAGTTCTTCCTCCTCGGGTAGTGATTCTATCAGCTTTCGTTTGCGTTGTTCAGCTTTCTTCTCCTAAATGAACAGAAAATAGTTTTCGAGAAGTTTTATACTCAAAGGTAATTATGGACAAACAGAATATAGGTAATTTTAAACAGAAAGTATGTTCACTGGTAAATTTCAACCACACCTTTTTGTAATCGTTCATTTTGGCTTCTTCTTCATATACATCTCCTAATATCTCTTCCATATTTTTTTGTTTCTTTTCGTATTCCTCTGCAAAAGTTTTGAGTAGGCTTCTAAGAGATGAAAAAGAAGAGAGATTGTAGGCAACAAGTTACTTTCAGCTAATTTGAGTTTGAACCGTTCCTTGACATCATCCAACGTGCTTCGCTTCACTTTCATTGACATTCCCATATTCCTGTAATGCGAAACTTTCCACCAATTATTTCCTCAAACTTTAAAAAATTCGAACCTCTGGTGATTTTTGCCATTTATGTGATCAAGGAAGTTAATCGAATCTTTAACTACACAATCACAGACATCGCAGTAGTAACCACCAGTTTCAGCTGCAGGTGTAGTTTTGTTTATCACAACAGAGCGACCCAACTTTGATTCAAGATCGACCTAAACA